TTGACAGAGGGGCATCCCATGGCCTCAGAGCAAGTCCAGGCAAAGCAATGCCCTTCCCTTAGAGTATGTATGCTGTTCCTTGCAGTTTGGCCCATGCTTACAGGGCAGGGAAGGATGGGAGAGCAGGGGCTCAGAGCCCCTGCTTTTTATGTTCATTTGTTTGTTTGTTTTAAGTTTTTATTGTGAACTGAGCAATCATTTACATGGGAGAACATCAGTGTTACACTCATCATTTCATTGCAATGATTACAATCCCCTCCGTGCATCACCATTCAACAGTATTTGCTTCTAGTCCCTGTTTTGTTTCAGGATTGCTTTGAATAGGGACAATCACTGGTAGCACTGAGGAGTCCCGGAGGGCAGAAGGAGGGGAGCAGAGGTTCTTAATCCTGAATTTAAATTTTAAAAAGAAGGGCAAAAAAACCAATTCTGACTCATGGCAACCCCATATGTTCTAGAACAAAACTGTGTTCCATAGGCTTTTCTTGGCTGTAATCTCTATGGAAATGAATCACCTGGACTTTCTGCCTCCTTACCACTGGGTGGCTTCTAACCAACCTCCAGATTAGCAGGCAAGCATAAACTGTTTGTGCCACCCAGGAAACTAGTTAGTGCCTATCACAATCCAGAACAAATCCGGCCAGTGTGTCAGGGCCAGACCAGGATTTACAATTGGTTAACAATTAGGGGAAGGAAGGAGCTTCTGAAGTAAAGAAACCCTAAAACCCTCCTTCCCTGCCTCCCAGTAAAGAGCTACCTCTGACCTACTCATTGTTCCAAATGCTTTTACATTTATTAATTTAATTGATCCTTATAACAACCCCAGGAGATACACTATGGTTTCCCCCACATGACAGATGAAGAAACTGAGGCACACAGAGAAGTTTCATTTACACAATGAGTAAACAGGAAAATGGAAGTGTTAACCACCTGTAAAGATGAAAGGAGACAGAGAGGAGGAAGAAGCAAGAAACAGAATGAGAAGGTATACAGGAAACTCAGGAAACAGTCCCAGGTTCCTCACCCAGCCCACATCCAGTCTGGAGTGAGGATGAGGGGTCTGGGGCTCTTTCCTGCCCCTGTCCCTGCCCCATGAACTGGATCCCTTACTCCTGTTTGAGGCTCAGCCACTGCCTGGGTTGACAGCTTTGGCACTTAGAGGACCAGAGTTCAAATCCCAACTCCCAACTCTTCAACAGACAAAGCACGTGGCTGTGGGCAGATCTGGGTAGTCCAAGCCTCAGTGAAAGTATCATATTATCACTCCTCATAAGGTGATTCTGAGGCTTCATGAGATTGTCCTCAGCACAAGCTTTCTAACCAGCCCCACCGCTCACTCTCAAATTTGGGTCCTTCAGGCCCTCAACTTCCTGACACATTCTGAAATTGGTGCCCACACCACAGGAAGTCCCCAGGGGGCAACACTGGCTCACTCATTTCAGCACTGTGGAAACTGAGGCACACAGAGAGGAAAGAGCAGTGAATAAACACAGGCAGGGCAGGAAGGTGAATTCAGGCCCTTTGGGCCATCCCTACCAGAACTGAGCATCTTCCCTGAAATACCTGCTAAGAACTCGATTACTTAGGCCGCAGTCCTGAACACACTGACCTCCCCAGGTCTGGGCATAGCCCAGGCATCTGTATCCTCTCCCTACATGATTCTGAGGGCCAGTCAAGTCAGGAGGCTTGCACACCTCAAACCTTACCAGCAAAACCACCACTGCTGACCAGCCGGCCACCCAGCCCCTCCAACTAGATTCCAGTGCCTGGAAATCTGATCCTAAATTCACTGAAGGGGCCAAGATTTCAAGGAACACCACTTCTCAGACCCTAAACCAAACCATACTTGTTATCATCAGTCCCAACCCCATTCACTGTGAAAATCTTCAAAGAATAAAGAGTCAATTTTGCACAAGTGAAAAAACCTTCCCATTTCCTCTTTTGGGTAAATCTGAATACTTAAGGTCTGATGCACAAACAGACCTATCACAAATCCCTACAATCACTTACTAATATATTCTACACATATGTACACAAGCATATGTGTATATTGTTAAGTGCCTGTATAGAGTTTCCTTGGAGCCACTGGTGGGTTTTAATTAGTGCTTATAACGTATTGATTACAAATCGGGCTGTGAACCGCGAGGTCAGCAGTTCGAAACTACCAGCTGTTCCACGGGAGAAAGATGAGGCTTTCTGCTCCCATAAAGATTTACAGCCTTGGGACACCCAGTACAGAGTCGCTGTGAGTCGCAACCAACTCCACGGCACATAACAACAAAAACATCCTAACACACCTATATTGTTATTGTTGTTAAGTGTCTTCTAGTAGGTTCTGATTCATAGTGACCCTGTACAGGGTTTCAGAGGAGTGGCTGGTGAATTTGAACTGCGACCTTTCAGTTCAAACCAACCTCACAATCCAGTGTATTAACCTGCATTGCCACACCAGGACTCCAACAGGCCTATATACACACATAGAAAACATGCCTACATACATTCTCAACATACACACACACCAATCTTTGCAGTTACTGCTCCCAGCAACCAGCCCAGCTGGGGAGCAGTTGGAGAGAGAAGAGCCAGACACGAACGAACCCCTTGGTAGCCAGCCAGGTCCCTCTCCACTTCAGACTTCCTTCCAATGTCTTACCTGTGCACTCAGCTTCCAGGTAACATTGTAATACACACAGTAAGTATGTGGAGTTTGTGGTCTGTTGTTTTTCAAACTTCTCAGATGAGACACTCCCCATTCTTTATGCCTTCTCTTCCTGGCCCCGTTCCCCACCCCACACACACATGAAGGGCAAGATTTGGGTCTCCTCTGGCCACAACTGATTGTGAATAACTGTATTCCAATCCTAGCTCAGCCACTTTCACCTTTCTGTGCCTCAATGTCCTTATCTGAAATGTGGGGCCAGTGATGCCTACTTTAAAGGGCAATCATGAGAATCACCTTGCAGAGGGCAAGGGAACTTCAGGAGGGTGTGTGTGTCCAGAGCAAAGCCTCAGTAATGTTACCCAGGCCTCTAATCCCACAATCTCCTCCTAGCCGTCCCTCCCTTGGATCCTAGTGGGTCCAAAAGAATATCTACATTTGGGGTTGCATCGGCCCCATGAAACTGTATTTAGGGGAGACCTCAAGGTAAAAATCAAACAAATTCAATGATGCCAGGGAAAGGGTTTTTATAAATTGTGGAGTGTTGTTGTTCAACATTGTCAGTGTGTGCCAGGGTGGGATCTGAGAGGAAGACCCCACTCGGACCCTAACCTTAATCACTGTGAGGAAAAGGGTTTGAAAGAACCAACTTGGGGACAACAGGCTCTGCCCATTACCAGGCTGTGCAACACTGCCAGTGTGGCAGGGCGCAAAGGGTGTGGCATTTGGGGCCACAGCCCTAGGCTCAGGGATCAGGGAGGGTGGGGCAAGGGCTGTAGGTCTTGGAATGAGTACAGGGACTTCCTTGAACGGTGCAACTGAAAATGTTGCTCAGTTTGGGGGCAAGGCAGAGCCACACAGATCCACTCAGTGGGTTTCCCTGGGCCTGCGCATCCACAACCCACTGTGTGCCCAAGAGGCAGATAGTCTAAGGGCCACTCGCTTCATCTCATGTTTGTTTCCTGTAAAATGAGGAGTGCCCATTTTCACACATTCTCTTAGAAAGAGTCTGCCTCCAACATGTTGCTAAGGCAGCTACCTTCCTTCCAAGTTGGGCAGAGCTTGAACGAACTGTCCTGTTCAGAGGGTGGGCACAGGGCCACACAGGGCCAAGCCCATATCACTCCACCTGAATGTCTATGCCAGCTAGGGCCACCCTCTAGTCCTGGCTACCTCTCAGTCCCCCTCCCACCACCACCAACCGGGGCCATGGCCCTCCTACCAGCAGACCAAAAACAGTCTCTAAAATAAATCCCCACTAATGAGCCACAGGGCCTGCGAACATCTGCTCAGCAGAAGTCCTGCTGTAGCTCCCCACCCTCCGACCTCGGGGTGGTGGGGGTGAGGAGAGGGAACTGAAGTCCCACTTTAAAATAAGAAGGCTAATGCAAAGCACCCACTCTACCCTTTAGCGGCTACCCCAGACCCTGCAGAGAGAGTCCCGATTGCAAGAATGGTTGAGGAGGGGTGGAGGTGTGGGTCACCCAGCAAATGCTCCAGCCTCCGCCTTCTCTTTGGCCTCAACTATAAGCAAACCACGCCCAAGCTAACTCCAGCATCTGGGAGAGTTCCAGGGAGCTGGGGGTTTCGAAGGTTACAAAGCAGTGGGGCTCGTTGTGGACAAATTGCTTCTCCACCCCCAGGTCCGCCCATGCCCAGTCTTTGGCCTCCAGCCCTGACCTCTGTTTTCCTGGGGTTCCTATAGTTACAGGCTGGCGGCCTCCAGCTGCGGGAGGACCTCAGCAAGCCTGCAAACGTGCCCTTCTCCCCTGATGCCCGCCAACCCCACGGTCCCTCCAGGGCAAGCAGCTGCCCCCTTTGCTGGGGCTTGTAAAATACCAGAATGGCCCCGCCAACGGGGGGGGGGGCAGGCAGGTGGCCGGCAGCAGGGCCCTGTTGTCCAGACAGTCTCGCGGGGGTGGGGTGGAATTCTTTAAGCAAACTGCGCCCCCGGAAGAGCTGCTTCCCCCTGACCCAGACTGGTAGCTCTTCGGACGATCCAGGCCTAGCCCAAGGTGCAGGCTGGAGTTAGTGGAATGGTCTCGCTTCTTTCCCTCGAGCTTGGAGACTATTAATGGATCCAACCCGGATCCCCAACACCAGGGGGATTGCCTGAACTGCAGGCTGAGAGGCCAAGGAGATGCACAGACTCAAAGCGAGGCTCCCACAGATGGGCAGAGCGGAGGAACGGAGAGAAAAGGAGAGAAAACAAAAACGGCAGAGACAACTCTGGGACGCAGTAAACGGAGCAGAAAGAAGAAACAGAAAAAAAAGAGGCAGACCCAGGGAAGGAGAGAGACGGAAATAGAGATGGAGCGGCACAGACAGACTGGGAGACAGAAAGAGACAACAGAATAGAAGAGAAAGGAGGAGGAACGCACAGACCAGAGAGGCTCGAGGGCAGAGCGGGCTCCCGGACAGTTCAGAGAGGCACGCGCGCCCAGCGACCGAGCCTCTCCTCCGGGTGTTGGCGCCCGCGCTGCCCGACCCGACAGACTTTCGCCCGAGTAATGCAATTCTTTCCCGCTGTTCTCTTTGGGCCACGGAAACTCTTATTAAGAAATGGAAACCCGAGGCACTCTGGGGACTGGCTCAGGACGCAACGGTGCCCCCCCCC